TTTGGCTTTCCCGAGGTGGGGTGGTTTTTCCAGAGGCCAGGCTGAGCAGAGCCCAACTGTACCGCAAGTCCCTCTGGGGCACTCGGAGGTCGGGCAGGGAACGGGGCCTCATGTCAGGGGTTCTGGCCCTGGAGCCTGGAGCCTGCCGTGCGGGGCCCCCTTCCCCAAGGCCCAGGTGGCAGCCCCCCACCTGAAGCCCCGCCCTGTCTCTTTCCAGAGACGAATTTCACGCGTTTTGTTTTCTCTTCTTTCCCTGCGCTCTGTCCCCCTGGCATGGTGTCTTGCTCTCACCCTCGGGACCTCTCCATCGACCCTGTGGCCTGTGACCTCCTTTCCTTACTCCTCCACTGGCTTGCCTTCCCCCTGGGAGGGGCTCTTCGGGGCGGCGCGATCCCCCTGGTAGTGTAAGGCCAGCCAGGTCCCCCAAACAAGGCTCGAGCCACTCTCGGCCCGTGAGAGAGCGCCCGGAAAGCAGCGCAGCCGAGGCCTTCCGCTGCCGCAGCGTCAGTGTGTCTGAGCAGGTGGTCCGCAGGTAGTGAGCGTGGCCGGCGGGGCGCACGGGGCGGGGCATGGGGCCCGCTTGCATGATCCCCCGGCCTGGGCGAGAAGGCCGCCTGCAGTGGCCCCAGCCAGGCCCACCGGGAGCAGCTCTGGCCCTGAGGAGCCTGGCGGCGCGGGGTTAACAGGTTGCATTCTGCCCCCGAGCCTGGTACAGCCAGGGCTGGCTGTAGGCCCTGCTGCCTTCCTGGAGGCCCGGCCGGTGGCCACTCTGGGAAGGGGCCTCGCCGGCCCAGCTCAGCGGTTGCACTGGCCCCGGCCCTGACAAAGAGCTCTGTGGGCCCTTCTAGACACATCTGCTCTCCGCCGTGTCCCAGAGCACAGGTAGCTGCAGGTGGGCCTTGGGCTGGGCCTCCTGCGAGCACACATCTGGGGAGGGGCTGGCCTGCAGCCCTGCTGGCACCGGGGCCCCTCCCCAGCACGGGCACACCGGCCTCCACGGGCTGGCCTCGGCGGTTCCACCAGGTTCCCGTTCCAGCCAGTTCTTTATCGTGTGCAACGTCTCCCACGGCGTCCATAGGAGTGCCAGCCCGACCTCCATGCCCCTCCCCCCCTCGGGGTGGCACGGCCGGCTCTGTGGGCAGAATGCAATCTCGCTCGGTGTCTTGGGTCTCACTCTGCATGACTAACCCTCTGCCCGACGGCCGGCTTAATGCCGATGCTTGCCTGCGGGCCGCCCCCTCCTGGCGCTCGCAGCTCCTTTATCTCCTCTCGTGGTGTCGAGTGGCCTGGTCCCTGGTCTTCCCTGGAGGCTCCCTGGGGTTCTTAACTCCGGGTGTGGGCGAGGCCTGGCCCCGGGCATCTGCATGTGGTGAGCTTTGGCCCTGGTGGCAGGCGGCTGGCCTGGGCTGCAGAACGCTGACCCGCCTGGCCTCCTCCCAGCAGGATCCAGAGCTCGCTCACCAGCACCAGCCTGGGTTCTGCCGACGAGAACTCTGTGGCCCAGGCGGACGGCAGCCTGCGCACCCTCCACCTGGAGCTCACCGAGACGTGCCTGGACATGATGGCCAGATACGTCTTCTCCAACTTCACCGCCGTGCCCAAGAGGTGTGCCGACGAGCCCCTGCCCCCGCCAGCCCTCCCCGAGGCAGCCTGAGCGCTGCTGGCCTGGGCTCACCGGCCTCCCACCGGCAGGTCCCCCGTGGGAGAGTTCCTTCTGGCTGGAGGCCGGACCAAGACCTGGCTGGTAGGGAACAAGCTGATCACCGTGACGACCAGTGTGGGCACAGGCACGCGGTCACTGCTGGGCCTCGAGCCTGGCGAGCTGCAGGCTGGCCCCGAGCGCAGGTGACCGTGGCTCCTTGGCCTCTTCGGCATGGCTAGCCAGCAGCATGCGGGGGTCCCCGTTCACTGGGCACTTCCTCTGCCCTCAGCACTGACCCCAGCCTGCTCGTGCGGCAGACCAAGGAGGCGCCGGCCAAGCTGGAGTCCCAGGCAGGAGCGCAGGTGTGCCGCGGGGCCCGCGACCGCGTCCGATCCATGTCAGGTGGGCCTGTGCGAGGGGCCCCTCCTGCTTGGGTGTTGGGGGCAGCCTCCCCACAGCTCTCTCTGCAGACCTTCAGCTCAGCCACAGGCACTTCCCTCAGCCCCCCTGTCCCGGTGCCCCGAGGGTCGTCCCTGGCAGAGCACTAGCTCCTGGGGGAAGTGGGGGGCTGTCCATGGGTGGGTGGTCACTGGCCCTCCATGCTCTCTCTCTCCAGGGGGCCATGGCCTGCGTGTGGGGGCCCTGGAGACCCCACCCACCCACTCCCCAGGAGGCCCCAGTGCCTCTGGGCTGCAGACCCCACCAGTCACTAAGCCTGAGAAGGCCCCCACTGGAGCCCAGACGCCAAAGGAAAAGGCGAGCCTGGCAGCCTGCGTGCCCCTGCTGACCCAGGGCTGGGCCGAGATCCTGGTCCGGAGGCCCACAGGTACCCAGGGGACGGGCTCTGCACGCGTGGGGGGGGCTGTCGGCGAGCAGGGGCCCTGTGGGTAGTGTGGGTGGGGCGGTGAGGAGAGGTGCTGGCCAGGAGAGAGGGGGTGACTGAGTGGAGATGGGACCTCTTCCGCTGTGCCCCACCCCACAGAGGAGTCTCTGCTCAGGCTGGCTGCTCTGTCCCCTTAGGGAACACGAGCTGGCTGCTGAGCCTGGAGAACCCGCTGAGCCCCTTCTCCTCCGACATGGACAACATGCCCCTGCAGGAGCTGTCCAATGCCCTCATGGCCGCAGAGCGCTTCAAGGAGCACCGGGACACCGCCCTGTACAAGTCGCTGTCGGTGCCATCCACCAGTGCCGCTGCCGCCACGCCCTCCCCCCTGCCCCGCTCCAACACAGGTGAGCCTGCCGCCCAGGCCTGCTCTGCGGACCCTCGGCTGTGCGATGGCACGGCCCCCCAGGGCCCTCGCCCAAGGCAGCAGGTGCAGGCAGGTCACCGGGGGCCGTGGCCAGGTGCTGCCGGCCGCTCTCTCTCTGCAGGGCTGGGGCCTGGCGGGGCTAGTGCTGCCTGGCCTCCTGTGACGTGGCCGCTCATGGGCCTCCCTTGCAGTGGCCTCTCTCTCCTCCCTGAGCCAGTCCAGTTGCCAAGGAAGGCTGCACAGGAGTGTGTCCTGGGCAGGTACTGGCGCGGGCGGCTCGGGAGCGGTGTGGCTGCCCAGGTGCTGTTGTCACCGCCCCATCCGCTCGCCCTCTGGGGGTACCCGCATGAGGGCCCTCAGGGAGCAGGCCAGGCGCGTGAGGACTGCGGGGCGACGCTGTCAGCCCACGTGAGCCCAGCTCCCGAGCTGCCTGTCTCCCTGGCAGCGTGAGCCGCTGCGCCCTTCGTGGCCCGGCTGGGCTGACTCTTCCCTGCCCAGCCCTGCGGTTGGCTGTGTGGGCTGTACCTGCTGACCCTGCGGTCCGTCCTCTGCCCACTGCCCTGGGTGTGGAGGGCAGTGGGCAGATGGGTCCCAGGGGCAGCTGGTAGACTGCGTGTGCACGTGGGGGTGGGGGGTCCGCCACCTGCGCTGTTGCTTATCCTCACCAGCACCCGCTGAAGACATGCCGCGGCTGCCACTCCCATCCCCTCACGGGGTGGTGCCTGTCGCAGACTGGCTGGCACTTGAGCAGGCCTGGCTTCTCGTGTGTGCAGGGACGTCTCAGCCGCCAGCCTTGTCCTTGGGGCCACAGCTGGGGGGCAGCCCGGCCCCTTTCCTGGCCCATCTGGGTGCTGCCCCACTTCCTGGGGCCAAGCCCCTGCCTGCCTATTGGGCAAAGGCTGGTGCCTGAGATGGTGTGTGTGGCCTGTGACTCCCGTGCTCACAGCTGTCTGTTCTCCCAGACTCCCCGGCAGTCTTGGAGGAGGGACGTGCAGCTCAGGAGAACATGTCCACCGAGTCCCCCGAGCTGGACGACTTTGAGGCGGCCCCTGGTCCAGACAGGCGCTGCCGACGAGCTAGGACCTACAGCAGGGTGAGCAGGGCATGATGCCTGGATATGGTCCGAGGCCGAGGTTGGGCATCCCAGGCAGGAAAGGCAGGGACACTGGGGAGACCAGGCAGGGTGTGGGGTGTGTGAGCAGGAACATGGCGGGGTGGGGACAGTGGGCACTTGTTGATCAGGATGCCCCGGGCCTCACCCCTGCAGTCATCGTCCACCTCCAGCCAAGAGGAGAAGCCGCTGCGTGTGGAAGAGCGGGGGGCCAGCAGCAGCATCCCCATCTTGAGGGCTGGGGGTGGCCCACCCTGCGCAGACCTCCCCTTCCAGCCCTCGCAGCCCCTGAGCAAGTCCAGCTCCTCCCCTGAGCTGCAGACGCTGCAGGACGTCCTCGGGGATGCAGGTCACAAAGCCGACGTGGGCCGACTGAGCCCGGAGGCCAAGGCCCGCTCACAGTCAGGGACCCTGAATGGGGAGAGCGACCCCTGGCCAGCCCCAGGCGAGGAGGGCCGGGCCTGTGGCCCCTCCCAGCATGAGAGCCCACCCCCCGCAGGCTCCCCTCGCTCCCCCGGTGGCCTGCGGCCCCGGGGCTACACAATCTCCGACTCAGCCCCCTCGCGGCGGGGCAAGAGAGTGGAGAGGGACTCCTTCAGAGGCAGAGCCGCTGCCGCCAACGCCGAGAAGGTGCCAGGCATCAACCCCAGGTGTGCTGGGGCAGAGTCCCCTCCCAGGGCGTGGTGTGCGCCGGCCTTGGCTGTGCTTGGTGGCGAGGGGCTGGGGGGTTGGGGGGCGGTGGCGGCATGTGGGGCTGGAGCCCAAGTCGCCTCGCCTGTCTCCCGGTGCAGCTTCGTGTTCCTGCAGCTCTACCACTCGCCCTTCTTTGGAGACGAGTCCAACAAGCCCATTCTGCTCCCCAATGAGGTGGGCGGGCGCCCTGGGATTCAGGTGTTGCGGGAGCGGGGCGGCAACGTGTGGTGTCCAGGGGTGGGGTGTCGCGAAGGCAGGGCTCTGACACAGCTCTGCTTCGTGTGCCCGCAGTCCTTTGAGCGGTCAGTGCAGCTGCTCGACCAGATCCCTTCCTACGACACACACAAGATCGCTGTTCTCTATGTGGGCGAGGGCCAGGTGAGGCTCGAGGACCGTGGGGGTGGACGTGCCCCGTGGGGGTGGGACTGGGCCCGTGGGCAGCGAGGCAGGGTCACAGTGTGACTGCAGAGGCCCCGGGCTGCTCGGGCCTGAGCTCGGGAGGGGTGTAGGGCGGTGGTGGCCTGACTGGCTCTGTAGGGCAGCTTTGGCGGGGTGGGGGGGCTCTGGTGGGGAGCTGACTGCTGGGGGGCTTTGGGTCACTTGGGTGTGGAGCCGCGCAAGGGTGGGAGTGGCAGGATTTTGCCGGACAGTGACAGCTCAGGGAATCGCACACTAAGGATGCAGAAGGAAGCAGAGCTGGGGTGGCACTGGGCTATGCCTCGGTGCCCCGGTGCCAGTTCCCGCCTCCCTCCGCAGAGCAACAGCGAGCTGGCGGTCCTCTCCAACGAGCACGGCTCCTACAGGTACACGGAGTTCCTGACGGGCCTGGGCAAGCTCATCGAGCTCAAGGACTGCCAGCCCGACAAGGTCTACCTAGGCGGCCTGGATGTGGGCGGCGAGGACGGCCAGTTCACCTACTGCTGGCACGATGACATCATGCAAGGTGTGGACCGCTGGGAGGGAGAGGGGCCAGGCGGGCGGGCATCCCTGGGGATCCGCTACATCCGTCCTGCTCCCCCTGCAGCCGTCTTCCACATTGCCACTCTGATGCCCACCAAGGACGGGGACCGGCACCGCTGTGACAAGAAGCGTCACCTGGGCAACGACTTTGTGTCCATCGTCTACAACGACTCCGGGGAAGACTTCAAGTTAGGCACCATCAAGGTGCCTGGGGCCAGGCACAGGGGGGTGGGGAGGGGTGGGGGGGATGGGGGGGCCAGAGCCCCTCCCCTCCTCGTGCTGCTTGGGGGCAGGTTTCTTCCAAGGTGGGGCAGTGAGCGTGTGCTTGCTACAGGGGAGGGGGTGGCTCTGACTGGTGAGGCCGGCCCCCACCCAGTGTCCCTTGAGGTGGGTCCACTCTTAGGTGGGAACAGTGACAGTGTGTCTTCCGGAGTCTCAGCCCGGCAGGGTGGTGGTCACTGCCCTGCACCGGCTGAGAACTGACCTCAGGTAGGGGAGGTTGGAACGGCATGAAGTGAGGGCTTCAGCCCCGGGAGCCAAGCTGAACCCTCTCTGTCCGTCTGCCTGAACCCCGTCTGTCCGTCGACAGGGCCAGTTCAACTTTGTGCACGTGATGATCACGCCCCTGGACTACGAGTGCAACCTGGTCTCCCTGCAGTGCCGCAGAGGTGGCGCAACCTGGGGGTGGGGGAGTGTCGGGACGGGGGTGGGGGGGTGGGACCTGGGTTCTGAGTGCCTCTGAGCTTCGTGTCCCCCTAGACATGGAGGGCCTGGTGGACACCAGTGTGGCCAAGATAGTGTCTGACTGCAACCTGCCCTTCGTGGCCCGCCAGATGGCTCTGCACGCCAACGTGAGTGACACACGCCCTGGGGACCCAGCCACGGGCGGGCAGAGACGCAGTGGCCTCTCTGCTTGTGCTCCCCCAGATGGCCTCCCAGGTCCACCATAGCCGCTCCAACCCCACCGATGTCTACCCCTCCAAGTGGATCGCCCGGCTTCGCCATATCAAGCGCCTGCGCCACCGGGTAGGGGCCATGGGGCCACGGGACCCTTCCCACCACCACCACCACCGGGTAGGGGCCGTGGGGCCACGGGACTCCTCCCACCACTGGGTAGGTACTGTGGCCTACCGACCCCTCTGCCTCCAGATCCGGGAGGAGGCCCACTGCCTGAACCCCAGCCTGCCCCTGGTGCAGACACAGCCCTCGGCCCCCACTAAGACTCAAGCTGAGCCCACGCCCACTTACGAGACGGGCCAGAGGAAGCGCCTCATCTCCTCCGTGGACGACTTCACTGAGTTTGTCTGACACTGGGCTGGGGCCGGCCCCCTGGTCCTGCCTGCACGACCCCATCTTTCCGTCTCACGTGCAAATCAATAAAGGTCGTGTGGCCCTCCTCGCCCAGGCACACGCTCGGACACACAGGTAGCAGTCAGCTAACGCCTTTATTTGACTTTGTCGGCTTGGGGGGGAGGGGTGCAGGTGCAGGCGGGGGCAGTGGGGGGCCCACCCACGTGTCCTGTCTTCACAGGCACGCCCTGCTCAGTCCCAGGAGCCAGCCCTGGGCTGGCCTTGGGGACAAGGTTCCCACGGCGGTCAGCTGTCCTCCTCGGGTCTCACCCGCTGCATCCGCCAAAGCCTATCGGCTCTACACCCCGTCTCCCTGTCCCCCAAACGCAGCGACCCGGGCTTCAGCCCGAGTGGTAGCGACGTACAAAAATACCCATTTTCCCGTATAAATTACTGACGGTAGACAGGGGTGCGCGTGCAGCAGGTGGGGCAATAACTTAGGGGAGGGGCTGGGCCGGGCACAGCCCGCTGCACCTGTACCTGAGGACTGGGAGGACTGGGTGCCTAGAGGCTGGGCACTCACTCATCCAATACTGCTATGTCCTCCCATGGCGATGGGAGGGGACCCTGTCCTGGCTGCCCCGCAGCCGCGATAAAGTGCTGACACCCGCAGGTGGGCTGGGGCTCCCGGCGGGGCTGCGTGCAGCGGGTGAGGACACTGGGCTGCGGTGGTGGCGGCAGACCGCCATGCCCTACGTGCTGCTGGGACGCACCTTGTTGGCCCTCAACGAGGGTCTGAGGGGGGCACGGGCCAGCCCGATGCCCCTGCTGGCCTTGGTCAGGCCACCGGACAGGGGTGGCTGGGGGCCGGGGGCAGGCGAGGCAGGTGGCCTGCAGCTCCGCAGACCCTGCAGCCGCTGCTCCAGCTGGTACACGTCCTCCGTGGCCTGGTTGAGCCGGTCAAACTGGGTCAGCAGAGCCTCGAAGACTGCATGCAGGCGGGAGGGCTCTGGCTCCCCCCGCAGCCCGGGGCGGCCCAGGCCTGTCTCCAGCTGGCTGGAGGAGGTGGAGGGGCGCGAGGTGTCCGAGCCGGCGCTGGGCGGTGGGGCCTCCGGCGGGGCCTGGGAGTCGTGGGAGGAGCGGGAGGGCAGCGGCTCCACGCCCTCGAAGCGCACCTTGTGGCGGAACTGGGGGCGGCACAGGGGCTCGGTTGGTCCAGCTGCACTCAGGCTGGCAGGGCCAGGTTGTGTCCCTCTGCCCCCCTGGGCCGTACCCACCTCCTTGACCTTGCTGAAGCCCATCCACAGGCGCAGGCGCCGCAGGAAGAGCTCCACCATCTCGTAGTCCTGCGGCTCCCAGGCCGGCCGGTAAAGCTCGCCGCGCAGAGCATGGTAGCGCCAGCACAGGAGCACGGCACCCAGGCGCAGGGCGCCCCACAGCCGCAGTGCCCACAGCCCCGAGCACAGCAGCGCCGAGAAGCGCAGGGGCTCAGTGGGGCAGAGCAGCAGGACGGCCTGGGCAGCGCTGCGCAGCGAGTCCATGCCCGAAGAGACCAGCTGCGGGGAGGGCAAGCAGGCAGGTGTGAGGGTGGGCGCACGGCAGGGAGGGTGGGTGTGCAGGAGGAAGTACGAGGGAGGAGGACCAGGGTGGGCACGAGGGCTTGAGCAGCCTTGCTTGCCCCTCCCCCTGGCCACACCCAGCACTCACCAGGATGGCCAGCTGGGTGTAGGCCACGGCAAGTACCGCCAGGGCCACAGCTGCACCCGCAAGTTCTGGCAGGGCCTGGCAGAGGGTCTTGCCAAAAACAGACCACTGGCGGACGAACCGCAGCTGCTGGGCGGCCTGCGGGCAGGCGAGGGTCAGTCTGTGGCCTGGCTGGGCAGCGGCAGCCTCACCCCCGCCCATCTGCTCACCTCCACCAGCAGCACAAACAGTAGGGACGCGGCCAGTCCACGGGCCACGGTGCCTAGCTGTGCCACCTGCTCGAAGCTGGTGAAGTGGCGTGGGCGGCCACCCAGGAAGCGGGCCCACTGGCGGTCGGCGGCGCCCAGCTGGGCCAGGCGGACAAGCGCAGCGGCTGCAGCCAACACCACCAGCAGCCCCCGTACCCAGGCTCCTGGCCTGGCTATGCGCCCACGCCCCTCTCTCTGCCAGGCACGGGCCTCGGCCACCAGGAAGTGCAGCGCCAGCAGCAGGAGGCTCACCTGCAGGGAGGGGGCCACTCAGCTCTGTTAGAGCAGGGGTTATGTGGGGCTGGGGCTGGGGCTGGGGTGGGGGCTGGGGCGGGGGTCCTCACCGAGGTGAGCAGCTGCAGGGAGAGGCCAGTGCTGAGGCGCTGCAAGGAGAAGGGCCGCACGCTGAGGGCCGCGAGGGCCTGGCCGACCACAGGGAACTCGAGGCGCAGGGTGACAGCAGCGTGCAGCCCCACGGCCGGGCTGTAGCGCGTGAGCTCCACAAACACGGCTCGGCTCCTGCAGGACGGGGCAGGGGGCGGGTTGCGGGCTGGGACCCCGACTACTGCAGGAAGGCAGCCCAGATGAGACGTGCGGTGGGAGTTCTGGGATCGAGCCTGCCGGGAGTGGGGGGTGGGGGGCGCCCACAGGGGTGAAGGCGGGCAGGTCTCTACCTGTTGTCCACCCAGTGATGTCGCTGCAGGAATTCCAGCTGTGCCTGGCTCTCTGCCAGGCTCTGTCCCAGTTCCTGCACATAGCCACCGCTATCATACACGGCACAGGCCCCCCAGTGCCAGACTCTGCAGGGGTGAGGGACGGGTTAGAGCCCCAACAGCGGGCGCTGCACACCCCACCGGGCGTGGGCCACACTGCGCTGCTTACCCAAGCGCCTCGGGTGCTGAGTAGGCCCATGTCCCAGAGCTGTTGCTGGGGGCGTGCTCCCAGCCAACGCCATAGTCACTGGTACTGAAGCCACCTGCCGCTGAGCAGGGGCGGGTGCCCGAGCCTAGGGGGTCAGGACAAGGGGCTGAAAGGCAGAAGAGAGCGCTCACCGAATGCAGGGATGCACCCAGTCCACCCATGGGCTCACTCCCACTGGGGAAGCACAGGCCGAACTCGGGAAAGGCCAAGGAGGGTTGCTGCCGGTGCCCCCCACACTCACCTTCCTCCAGGCGCACCTGCCGCAGCCGCGGGGGCCCCAGCTCCGGGCTGGACTGGTGGCTGTGGGTGTAGGGGAGCAGCACACGGGCCATCCACGGCCACAGCTCGTCAGACCTGCGGGGACCACAGTGACCAGCTACACTTGCAGGGGTCCTCAAGCTTTTTAGGCAGGGGCCCAGTTCACTGTCCCTCAGACCCATTGGAGGGCCGGATGATAGCTTAAAAAAAAACTATGAACAAATTCTTATGCACACTGCACATATCTTATTGTGAAGTGAAAAAAACCAAAAAAAACGGGCAAAGACACCCGGCGGGCCACATGTGGCCCGCGGGCTGTAGTTTGAGGACCCCTGAGCTACAGCCACAGCCACTGGCTAGCAGGGAGGGTCCATCCAAGAGGGGCTGAGGTGCATGCCGCCCCCCACAGGCCCAGCGGACAGGGTAGGCCCATGCAGGAGGGTACCAGGTATGTGCCCTGACTGCTCATTGGCTGCTGGGTCCAGTGGGCCCGCCTGGCAGGGCAGCATCACAGACCATACCGGGTGATGGCCAGGAAGGCCCGGCTGTCAAGCTCCTGCTTGATGGCACTCTGCAGGCGGTGGGCGTGGCCGAGGCACGCGGCGTCCCCGTAGTTGGCCAGTAGTGTCACCAGGAGGAAAAGCATGTACACCAGCAGGTTCTGGGGAGGCAGGTACCCTCAGCCTTGGGGTCCCAGCCCAACCCCAGGCGCCCACTGTGCTCTCAGTCACCCCAGCTACCCCCACCCCAGGACCCGACTTGGCAGCGGGCTGGGCAGCAAGAAGAGGGGGTGAGGCTCCACAGTTGGGAGGGGCAGGCTCCTAGGCACTGGAATGAGCACTAAGTACCGGGGCTGGGTGCTGGGCAGGGCGGGGCGGGGGCTGGCTCACCCGCAGCACCGCGTGCAGTCTCTTGACCTTTCGGGCCTCCTCCTTGGCCAGGAAGAGGGCGAAGCCGTGGGGGGGCCGCACGCGGGGCACGCGCTCGCTCACGGGCGTCACGGCGGGGCTCTCTACCAGCGGGTCGTCCTCGTCTGGGTGCAGCCGCTGGACCACCAGTGAGAAGTACAGGGCCTCCAGCAGGACCTGGGGCGAGGGGAGCTGGCATCGGGGCTGTGGGCGGGGGGCCAGAGCCTCCCACCCCCAGCCCACTCACCTTGAGGGGCTCCCAGCCCAGGAAGGAGACCAGGAGACTGGAGCCGCTGGACAACAACCACATGACGCTGACGTGAGGGGCAAAGCCGGAGCCGAGCCAGCCAGAGAGGCCCATGCACAGGGCGACCAGGAGCAGGCTGAGCCCGTGGGCCAGGTGGGAGCACCAGGCCGGCAGCAGGCGCTTCCGCAGGCCCTCCATCAGCCCTGTGGGCGAGGGGTCGTGAACTGCTGGGAAGGACTGGGGTGGGGGGCACGTGCATGTGGGGGAGAGCACTGAGAGTGTGTGTGTGTGTGTGTGTGTGAGAGAGAGAGGGGGAGGGGAGGGCAGGGGGAGGGTGGGCGTGCATGAGCAGGAAGAGAGCAGGTGGCACAGGCATACCTGCACCAGAGTGTGTGGGGGACAGGGGCTGGTCCCAGCCGGGGCCGGGGGCTGGCGGTCCTCTCTCCTCCAATCTGTGTAGCACCAGCGCCTCGGTTCTTGCCCCAGGACTCCCTGACCTGAACACAGGGGGCCATGAGTGTTGTGCCCTCCCAGGGGGCATGCTGACACCCACTCCCCTCCTGGGACACAGGGTGGAGCCCCACTCCAGAGCAGGAGGCCAGGTGGAACACAGATGACCCAGGAAAGCCCCCTCTTCTCTCCCTGCTCCCTTACTGACCCCTCCAGTGCCCCCGACTCCCACCCCAGCCCGGGTCCCGAGCCTAAGCCCTGCTGGTGTTCTGCCCAGCCAACCCAGGCCCTTGTGCCAGCAAACTGGCAGCTGTCTCCTCTCACTACCCAGCTACTGAGCCCTGCCTGGACCCCGCAGCCTGTCTAGAACCTTCCACGCCCACGCCCACGCTTTCTGCAAGACCCTGGGTGCCCTGTGCAGCCTGAGACCAAAGGAACTTGTGCACGCCTCTCGGACGCCGTCCCCAAGCACGGCCCGTTCCTCGCAGAGCCACCGGGCCAGGGCATGTTGGCGGCCAGGTGCCGCCTTGAGTCCAGAGCCTTAGGCGAGAGAGCAGGGGAGGAGGCTGCAGAGTGAGAGGAAACAGAGGTGAGAGAGGGAGACAGAGAAGTGGGGGCTACTTGCCATGGTCCCAGAAAGTGAGTGGTAGGTGGCGGATTGGGGGGCAACGGCGGCTCAGCTGTGGAGCCCCCCTTCCATTTGGTGTGAGAGCCAGTATTTGGCCACCACCTGCCTGACGAGTCAGGCGGACGAGAGAAGTGGCAGCCAGGCCTCAGCCACTGGCCATCTTGTTGCCCAGGGCTGCCTTGGAAGGCAGCGCAGCACCATTCCACTGTGGTCGGACCTGCCAGCAGCTGAGGGCCCTGTGTAGAGGAGGAGCGGGGGCTCCGCTGTGGGAAGGGCCTGGCAGTTGAAAGTGGGGCGCTGTGTTGCGCAGAAGGGATGAGAGCGTGAGGGGGGAGGAGAGGCAGGGAGGGGCGAGCAGGGGGGCATGGCCACAGTAGGAGCAGAGATGGCAAAAAAGGGGTGACCACCAGAGGGGAGCCGGGTGCCCCAGCCCACCACTGGGGGTGCGTAAATTCCCACAGCTAGGCCGTGCCAGGAAACAGAATCCCTGTGACCCAGCAGCCCTCAGGGTGCACCTAGAGGCTGTGAGGGGGCGCAGAGAGCCAAGCTCCCTGCAGCACTGTCACCAGGGACAGGAGGAAACAAGCGAAACGTCTACCTGTGGCTGGCACACGGCACACGCAGGAAAAGGAACACAGCTGACTGACGAACCCAGCACACAGACGGAGAAGCGAGGCTGCCGACTGCTACACACGACATACAGGTGACACAGGCACATGGCATCCACACATGGAGAAACACTGCAGCCAACCCATATCCACAACACGAGTTCCACACACATGGGACATGCACACGCACTCGGCGCAGCAATGCAGGTGGCCCACACAAACAGGAGAAACAACACAGCCAACACATAATACACAGCACACACACACACACACACTGCACGGCACACAGAGGAGCAATGCAGCTGGCCCACGGACAAAACACATGTACAGAGAACTGATGCAGCTGACGTGTGCACACGTGCACACAAAGGAGCAACATGGCTGACATACATACACAGCACACACAGGAGCAACGTGGTCGGTCCACACGGCAGTCTGCTGCTCAACCTTAGAGCACAGCCCACAATCCTGCCACCCGCCCACAGCTCCCCAAAGGACAGCTGTCCAGAGGGCAGCTCCCAGGCCGCCCGCCAGGGCAGTGCTGCTCCTGGCTCCTTCCCCAGAGGAGGGCTGAGGTGCGTGAGCCAGCCCACTGGGCCGGGCACTCACAGGCCGGTGAGCAGGTCTGCGTCCAGCTGGGGGCTCTGGGTGGCAGCCAGGCTGCTGGCCCCTTCGGCCAGGATCTGTCGGATCAGGTCTTCATCTGAGGGCAGGCAGGGAGATGGGCAGCTTCAGTGGGGAACCTGCAGACATGGCTGTGCCCCCATTGCTTCCCAAGTCTACTCACCTGAAGCTGAGAAGTATTTGGCAGGGGAGGGAGGGCTGACCAGAGAGAGGCTGTCCTCTTCCTGGCTCAGGGGGCGGCCAGGCAGCCCCTGAGCTAACTGCTGCATGGTGCTGCCCACTATGGATGGGTCAGCGAGCAGGTCCGGCCAGCTGAGCGAGCCCTCAGTGGGTGGCCAGCACACCAGGCTGGAGAAAATGCAGGTCAGAGGGAGGCCCGGGCAGACAGGGTGGTCCCTTTGTGTTTACATGGGGGTCTGTCTGTGGGTGGAATCTCAAAACCCCCAAACCACTAGGGGAGTCCCTGAAGCCTCCAGAGACCCACCTTTTAGAATCATCCAGAAATAAATCATGCATTTGCTCAGCAGCAAAGACCTGTTGGGAAGTGCAGAGAGGGCCTTAGGTTCCCCGGCAACCCAGAGGCCACTTGACCGCCTGGCCTGGGCTCCCAGTCAAGCTGGCACCTTGGTGCGGAGCCCCAAGAAGGTGAGGCAGAGCTATCCAGCACAGAGGAGTTCAGGTAGCTGTCTGAGTCTGCCACCTGCTGCCTGGCGGGGCTGGGGGCCCCGTCACCTGCAGAAAGAGCAAGGCCTCAGCAGGCAGGGCCCAGACCAATACCGTCCACGGAGGTTCTAGGGTGATGGACACTGTGAGGAGTCACATATACTTGCCATGTGTGGGTGCAAAAGCCCAGAAACAGGGCCAGGGCGACCCGGGAAGGGGTGTGTTCCCATCTGTCTGATGTAGCCCCAGGGTATCCCATCCTTCCTATGTGCTCTTGCGGCAGGCTTTTTGGCGAGGTGTTTTGTTTTTCATTTTCTTCCCTACAGGTTTCAGACACCCTGTGGGAGCAGTTCTGGTCTGCTACAGGGTTTCTGTGAGTCCATGAGCCGGTGCTAACCCACCTGTCCCACAGGGTCGTTGACGCACTGGGCTGGGAAGCGGCAGGTTTAACTATGGTGTGTCTCGACAGTTTTCCAAGGAATGGTGTTTATCAATTAGACTTAAAAAGCCAAAAATACAAGTGTGTGTGTCATTCAGCAAGCCGGGGTCTCTGGGTTGCCACAGGGCAAGTTGGGGTGTTTGGGCTGCCGCTGGGCGCACCAGGGTCGCTGGGCCTTGAGTTTCCACCCTGCCGACATGCTCTCTCCCTGCAGCATCTCCGTCCAGCTTTGGTGCCTGGGCAGTGTCAGGTCCTGGGGTGAGCTGGAAAGCAGTCCCTCCTCCCTTAGCCTTGGGCAGGGCTTGGGAAGGGCGGTCGTGGCCAGCCACCTTCTGAACATCTTGGGGGACTTGGCAGGCGGGGTTGCGGAGTGAGTGACAGCTCATTTCACCTTCATGGGCTGATCTGTCGGCCTGCAGGTGCTTCCAGCCCTTTTGCTTATTGGGGGTCAGTGGGGACACCCCCTAATTTGATCCATGGTTCTAAATAATTTGTGTCTTCTCTTCCTTCCCCCCTTGGTCTGACTAGTAAAAAAGGGGCCTTGGCAGTGCGGTGGGTTAAGCGCAGCTGTTTGAGCCCGCCAGCTACTGCCGGGGAAGATGAGGCAGCGTGCTCTCTGGGAAAGCCCCTGGGTTGGTTCTACTGACTCACACACAGTGGACATTGTGGTGTGAGATCTCTGGTTGATCTAGAGGGTCCAGTTCTTGGTTCCCAAGCCCCTCTCTGGCTCTGTCCCACAGGGCCCCATGCATCCCTTGGTCCCCGCCTACCTTGCTCCTGGACATCCGGAAGAGAAACAGGATGGCCAAGTAGACGGGGTAGACAACCACGCTGGACACGAGGCCGACGGCCACTGTGTCCACACTGAGAGGGATCAGCGTGGACACGGGTTTCCTGCTGGGGGGGGAGAGCAGGGGCCATGTGAGGCTGGGGAGCAAGCGTGAGGAGGTGGCTGGCCTTGTGGAGCTCGGGCACCAACCTGTAGGCTGCGTCTCCTACGACCCCGTACCACACGGCGTTGGCGCCCAGGAAGAGACAGAGCAGGAGGACGCAGCAGGTGGCCCGCTGGACGCGGGTGAAGCGGCTGCGCGGCGGCCGGTCCCACAGCGAGAGCCAGATGTGCTTGTCGAAGAGGCCGCGCTGCAGCTCCGCCACCAGCAGCCGCCGGAACCGCCGCAGCGCAGCATCGTCTGGGCGGGCGGAGAGCAGGGCTGCAGCAGGCCTCGTCCAGGCCCCCCGCCCCGCCCCGCCCCCAGGAGGGGAGGGGCCCTACTTGCTGCCAGCACCTCCTTCTCCACCAGGCCCCCATTGGCCTCCGTCTCCACCGACAGCCAGTCATTGACCAGGAAGTAGGTGCTGCGGGCGCTCTGCAGGTCCCTAACGATGACGTGCTGCAGGAACCAGGCTGGGCTGAGCCCTGCGGGCGGGCACGCGGGCAGGTGAGGGAGGGAAGGAGGGTCTGGGCGGGGGGCGGAGCCCTGGGAGGAGGTGGGCGGGCCCCTGGGGGAGTGGCTAGGGCCTGGATGGGGCGTGGTTGGGCCCTGGGGGAGTGGCTAGGGCCTGGATGGGGCGTGGTTGGGCCCTGGGGGGGGAGCAATAAAGAACTAAAAGAAAGTTGTATGTTTCATCGGTGCTATAATGCACACACATACACGCACACACCCATTCACATTGGGTATGATTTTGTTCTGAGTCTTAAATGCCTGATAACCTAATCCCATCGACAC